TTTTCATTTTCAATGTTGCATGAACTACAAAAAAATACTATGTAAGTCAAACTTTATAAATTTGATCTTAAGATCTGATATGCAAATGAACTACACAGACACTGTGTCCGCCACGGTGGTGGGTCCTGTGACCGGAGGGTCCGCAGGGTCCATGGGACGCAGACTTTCGAAGGCTGGAAAGCAGGCCTCCACTGCATGCTCTGCCACCACCCAGCAGCACACTGCCACTGCAAATTTAGCTGATAGAAATTAAGCATTCCAGCAGTGACAATGCTTGACAACCAAATGCATAAAATAGTAAACAATTAACAATCAAAATAAGGAAACAGCTGCTAGTTTCTTTTTATAAAAATTATATCTAATTGACAATAAATGCCAATTAAAATTATTAACCAATATACATAAATCTCCTCTGCCTTATTGTCACGTGGTGATGTCGACTCCCTTGAATTGCCAAAGGGATTCCTAGATGCTTCTCTCCTCTCTTTCTCTCTTTTTTGCTTTGTGTTCTCAACCATGAAGCAGTGAATGAAAATCATGGAGGGTCCCTTCTTTTTAAAAATGATTTTTTGTTTTATTCAGCTATGGTTAGAGAAGTTTTTTTTTTTTTTAAGATTTATTTATTTGAAAAGAAGAGCTACAGAAAGTGGGGAGACAATGAGAGAACGAGGAGAGGGAGAGGGAGTGAGCTTCCTCCTGCTGGCTCACACCCTACATGGCAGCAACAGTTGGGACTGGGACACACAAAGACCTGGGGCTCCAACTAGTGCCGTTATGGGATTCCAGTGTCACAGATGGTGGATGAATATGCTAGACTACAACACCAGCTCTAGACTGAAGCTTTCTGGTCCATAAAAGCCAACCACATCATTAAAGTGCAAATAAAAGGGAGAACAAATAATCTAACACACGGCATTACCGTGCACATGGCTGTTCCCATTAAATATGATGATTACAAGAACTCAACTGGATCTTACAATCATCTATAACCACTCATATTAGCATGTTAAAAGCCCTAATGCACAGAGATACGACAAAATGTAACTTTAAAAGCAGTGACTCTTAATTTTAATTGTTGAGAGGAAGGGATTAAGTAGTGGAGAAGTAATTGTCAAATGCAACCTGGAAATGTCCCCGTTACTAACTAATGTATTATAATGATTTGCTGCACATTCTCCTCGCATCGAGAGGCCAGCCCTGTCAGTCACTTCTTTTTAACTGCTTTCCTTCATCTTTGAGATGATTTCAGTTTAAGAAATAACAGGATCACCTGTGTAAGAGGCGATCTGTGATGGCCTGAGACACTAACCCACACTTCATTTACTGCCACCTCTCAGATCTTCCAGTTTCCCCTTAGGAATATTTGCAAGTGAGAAGCTGGCATTGTAGTACGGTACATTAGGCTGCCACCTAACATGTCAGTTTGAGTCCTGGATGCCCCACTTCTGATCTGGCCCAATTCCCTGCTAATGCATCTGGGAAAGCAGTAGGAGATGAGTGAGTGCTTGGGCCCCTGGAGCCCGCTTACTCTATCCCCTACTGCCTTCCCGGTGGGAGTCCTGGAGGCTACTTGGGGAGTGAGCAAGTAGATGGGAGATTCTGCTCCCTCTCCTCCCTCACCCCAGCTTTGTCATTCAAATCAATTCGCAAATCTAAATTTAAAAAATGCTTTAATATATGTATTACAAAGTTAGAAAAACTTCGGACTTATTGGCAAATGAAGTTCAGGTATTTAATGAGGAGGTTAATTAGGCATGCAGGGTACCGTGTCAGAAGAATATATTATTTTTATAAATGAACAAGAGGATATCTTTTCATATTTAAAAGCTACCTAACTTTCTTTTGAAAGTTCTTCCTGCTTTACATGAACACTATTAACGCTTTGTGTCTAGAAGATCCAATTCTCCTTTATTCAGCTATCACACTCCTACTGAGCATCTGCAGTGTTGTTGAGCTGGGGAGACAAGCTGAGAGAGAGAGACACAGTTGGTCCCCAAAAGCTGAGTGTCTAGGACATAGGTTTACCCAGGTACTGCAATAACAGTACTATGGTCTGAGCAATTCAAGCAGAAGCTTCTGCGGCTGTAGAAGAGGCAGAAGGGCTGAGCTGAGGGCTGCTGCGTGCTCAAGAGCACTGGGTGGCACAGGCAAGGGAGGCAGGAGGAGTGGCAGGGAGAGCAGGGCATGGCTGTTCAGAGTGGTAGCACTGTGATGCCAAAGAGCACAGATCCTGCAGCCTGGCTGCCTAAGTCCCACCTTGGGCAGCGATCTCACCTGCCTGTGCTTCACCTTCCCCACCCGTAGCAGCAAGGCGATGTGAGCATTTACAAGAACTGTCAGGAGAATGAATGCACTCCTTCCAGTGAAGCACAAAGTAAGGGCCATTTCTGTGTTTCCCTGAGTGGTTGATGCCTTACACAAAGGGAATCCTGGAGACTGGGGGTCAGAAAGAGGTCCAGGCGTCATCCCGAAGCCACTGTTGGATTTCTGCCATGAGCATGATCCTCTACATTAGTTTGTGGCTTTAAGAAAGCCCAGGGAACAGTGCTGGCAGGATGTAAGATCAGGAGACCCGAACAAGAGCAGTGGGAGGTGGGAATCAGAGGGGGCTGCATCCTGAGAGCCCCAGCAGGCAGAGTGGCTAAGAACTGATGACTCACGGGCCCGATGGCATGAGGGGCCAGGACCTGGCTGCAAAAGAGGACTGGTGTTGAGCCAGCTGAACTGACAGAACACTTACCTGCTTGGCCTTCTGGTGTTTATTTACACACAAGCAATGTTAAATTTACTCCCTTTCCCTGTGACATCATCTCCTTTTTATAAGCTGGCATGAAGATGGTGGGGGCAGTGTGCGGAGAGAGACTCCAAACGCTAAAAAGTATTAGACTAGCATAGACGTCCTGCCTCTCAGCCACAGAGTCTCGCACTTGTCTGAGCCCTGAATTCCAATATTCGTTGGAGTTCAAGAATAATAGTCAAGAATCAGAAGGCTCTCTTTTGGCCACTGTGCTTTACTTTTCTGCCCTGAAAGAGAGGGGGCAGCCTGACAGGCTTTGATGTCCCCTGGTGCTGGGTGACTCTGACATTAGCACAGATATATTCAGCTGTGGCATATGACACTGGCTGGGACTGGAAGGCAGGACAAGGCAGCTGATATATGACAGCCCAGCTCAGGACTAAAGGCAGCTGCAACACGCACCCCTTGGCACTGGAGTCACCAAGGGCTTCGGCCTCCAAGCTTTCAAACGCGGGTAAGTAACTTGTGACCATCTATGACGTGCACCGTCCATAAGCTTCTGGCTACATGATGCCGCCGATAAACAGTATTTAGTATTTTTATAACAGAACCTCTCAGTGTTTTTTTTTTTTTTTCCTCACTGCTTTTGGAAGAGCATGTTCTCATGGCTACAGCACAGGTCCTCAGAGGGAGGATGCCACTGCTAAGCTTGTGAGATCTTGTTGGTTCTCCGATGCTAGAGTTGCATGTGGTAAACTCTTTCCCTTCAGTGACTTGATCATTCCCAGAGGACAATTTAATGGAGTGGACTGTCAGACCACTGACAATGATGGCGTAATGGAACAACACGAGGAATCCATAGCATTGTGGCTAGTGAGCAGTACAAGAGGCCACTTCCACCAAAGCTGAGTAAACCAGGTTTTTCTGTATATGGTTTCTTTGTTTTAAACAACTGTTACTAATTTTCATCCCTGCTATCAGCTAGTACCCAAATAGCAATCCAACCCGTGCAGCAAGACCTTGGCCCAAACGCCATAACATCTCCATAATTTTCCTTGTACTCAACACTGTGCTTTGTAGCCACTCACACTGTCCACTGTTGTCTCTAATAGGGTATTCAGCAGAGGCTCAAATCCAAGAAACACTGGTCTGGATTTGACCTGGTCCTCTAGTTTCGAAGTTAAAAACCACAAAGTATGTTTTGACAGAAAAAAAAAATAAGATTCAACACAATATGATCAATTGAGTTTGCCCACTAAATTGACTCTATTTAATTTTTAAAAGATCTATGAAGTGGGAAGCCAAGGCTATTCATCACATTTGTTCATTTACTTTGTGGTTCTAACACTTCTTCATTTCACACTGAATTACTGAAGAGTCAACATCAGAAACGAGAAATATCAGCCCTACACTGATGTATTCATAAAAATATTTCTGCATGCCCATTTTCTTTGTCTGCTTTCTTATAATTAGCAGCGTATTATATTAGACTAAGGCAAAATACTCCATCGAGGCTGTCCATGGATATTTCAATAGACTTGAATCTTTTTTGACATTTCAAATATAACCTTGTGCCACTCAGGCATACCTCCTACTATTTTAAATGTATAGCATCTTCCAGTTGCACGGATTACCATGGTTACTTGTTATACCAAGAGTGAACTCCAGTTGGCATTTAAAAGCACTGTGCTGTCTTAACCCCTGCATTGAAAATGACATCAACATCTCAATAATCGCAATATTAGGAACTAACACGGAACCCCAGAGGATTGTGGCTCTGAGGCAGCTGGACACAGGATAAAAAGTTCTTAAGAGATGGAGGACATTTAAGGGACTTTGAGGAGGTGTATGATATTCATGGTCTCTAAGAGATATTTTCACTGCCAACTGTGGTTTTATTTTACTAACAGAATTGCTGAATGCTTAGAATCCTGCACTCCCCACCCCCAACCCTGCCTTTTTTTTTTTAATGTACTTATCTTCAGAAATACACGGGACCCCAGCACGTCGTTGGGTAGGAAAAGGTTCGCCACAGTCAGGATCAAGTTCATCAGAACCCAGCCCTCAATTGTTCCCTAAGCAGTTGAAGTTTTGTTAAGGAATGTTCTTGTTCAGAAGCAGTTTTCTTCTAAGTAATTATTGGATCATGGCTGCTTGAGAAAAGTGCCTTAGCAATTCCTGGGGGCCATTTTTACACGCCTCTCCCAGGCCTCTTGATTTCACCTGTGCCCTGGAAGACATCCCGGACGCAAGCCTGACTCACCTGCACTGGTGCCTGCACCGGAGGTGAGGTCTCCGCCCATCAGACCACCTAGGAGTGAAAAAGGACCATCAAACTCTGTTCCTTTAGCAAGCGCTCCTCCCGAGAGTCAGAACCTGGGGAAATCCTCCTGAAATCAGAGGGCTGATACTTGCCTTCCCGTGACATGCTGTGCTCAAACGTTACTCATGCATTCAATGACTGACACTTTGTGCAATCTTTTTTTTTTTTCTTGGAAAGACTACATTTTAAAAAGCCAGTGTTTGACTACTCTCGGCATTTTTTTAAAAATTATTTCCAAGTCTAGGCTTTTTCCTAAGCAGATGTTTTATACAGAGGATAAAGACGTTAGGTCTTCTATCCGCTCACATAACTGTACATCTGATGTCGAATTCTTGAAATTATGTTTCACAACATTCATTCTGTGCAATATTGTTGCATCTGGGAAGTACATCAAGATCAAAGATGGATTGGCCTACATTTATGACGAGATTTATTACTGATACAATAAAATAAATTTGCGCTACCACAAAGTTATGAATATATATGTATGTTATACTAACTTAAGAAAGTGTATTAAGTTTGGCAATGTTTGCATGAGAGAGGAGGTTTCAGATATTGAATATAATAATTGTTTTTAGTTTATAACAACAAGGGTTAGCCCCCCCTAAAAATGGTGATAATATTATCTGGAGTTTCTAAATACTTTGAATAGGCTACTCTATAATTACTAGGAGTTGGTTCAAGCTTTAGAATTGGAAGAAAATATACATTACCTTTTAAGAAAATGATTATTGTTTGTCATCCAGTAACAGTTTGTGTCAAATTAATAAAACTAATAAGCATTAATAAAATCGGTTAGCATTTATAAGAACAAAAATACAACTGCATCTAAATAACTTTAAAAGAAATACATTCAACATTGCTCTTAAAAATGTGTGCTTAAAATTTCAAACATATTAAGAAAACAGAATGTCACACTCTATTTTTGTACACATTCTCCAGAGTCAACGTTAATAAAAATTGTTCATTTGTCTGTGTTTGTATTTTTCCTACAGAGCTTTTTAAATTAAAATCTTTTAAAAATTCCTATACTGAAAAGAAATTTATGTTAGCTCTAATTGTGAGGCAGGCATCTAAACATTTTAGAGGTAGAATTCTTCCACAAACACAAAGCATTTATTATAGCCATATTAAATGCATATGGAAAATATGCCAAATTCCCTATGGTGTGAGTGATTTTTTTCAAAATGAGATTCAAGCATGTCATGTTTTGCTACATGTGACTTACAAATATTTTTGTGCCGCCCCTGGAAACATGAGGAATGATATGGACTGAATTCCTAACACGAGCTGGGCAAGAAGGAAGACATCTTCCCCACAAACTCTTTAAGCCCTGGGCATTGGGACAACTATTGAACCCAGTGCCTCAGAATGTATTTCAGTTGATCTGGGTTTATAAGAATAGACAAAATTTTCTGCATATCAATTGTGTTATTCCAGCATGTATTTCTTTTTTTCTGCTTTAAATCCTTCATGTAACAAGTCACTCTCTAAGCAGACAGAAATTGCCCACTGTAGTAAAAAACTAAAATGCACAAATGCCACCAGGGTCTGCAGGAGGAGAAGGGAAAAAAATATCAAGGGTAGAACGCAAGCTGGAGACAAGATACTTGACGCTCTGTGTGAAGACGTGTATGGTTAAAATATAGCCACAGGAGGAGCTAAAGGACAGGCCAAAAGACAAATGGCAGATGAAAGAAGATTTTGGAAGACAGACTGAGAAAACTAGACTTTATGACCTAGAAGACCTTGGTGGGGTGGAAGTGATACAGGCAAGGAAGAGAACAGAAAACCAGAAAGCATCTGACAGACACACTTTAGCTTTTACCCACAGTGCTTTCTGTTCGCATCCTGTGTTGGACCTACCTGCGTTACCTGCACTCGGAGGCCGATGTGTTACGCCAGGAGACATGCTATTCCTCTGCAGAGAAGGGTGGGCCAGTGGCAAGAGGTTGGGGTTTCCCAGGGAGCTGACTGGGTTGCTATACACCAAGCTGTTGTGGCTGGACACTGGGATGGAGACTGGCATCTCAAAGTTGGGGGGTGGAACAGCCTGGAGCAACACAAAATTCACAAAACAAAAGCAAGGGGTCAAAGAGGGGAACAGTAAGTGGAGCTCTCATGTGCAGAAGAGCTTGGCTTTTTGAAGAAAAAGTTCAAGTTCCCAATGGCTGGGTGTCTAGAAAGCCCACAAAGAGCTCTCCAGATGTACAGATCATAAATTGATTTCTTGAATGTGCTTTGAGCTCCCCCGTCTTCCCAACTATTAGAAAATGGCTCACTTTTGTTTAAAACAAAGCCCTGCCTCATTAGGCTCCATTGTCTTTGAATTCCATTCTATTAAGTAATAATTGTTCATTTGCGATATCTGAATCGGGTGCCAGTAATGCCTTCAAGATCAAAGGTACATGACTGGGATGACTTCACAGAGGAAAAAAAAAAAGAATTAAAATGCAAACCAGATCCTTTAGTTTAATTGCTTATTGAAGCATATTTATGCAGAGGTTTAATGATATAAAATCATCTCCAGGCGCGTGAATAGCACATATAGCTTAATTATTATTTTTAAAAGCCTTCCTTTTTAAAAGCAACACTAAAGATAATAGGCATTTTAAGATACAGAATTCAACGGAGCACGTATCATTCAATAATTCACGTGTTAAAATGTTTGTTCAGAAGATCCACATGCCCCACGTCTCGGTACACATGTACTACCGGCATCCGTATCTTAAACAAGAGTTGAAAATTATTTAGTGAAATGAAGCTGTGTGGATATCTAATTAAAATAATTCATGTCTCAATTGTTAATCCTCAGTATTATTTTGTCAAGTTCAGCAGAATTATTATATTTCTGCTTCCACTAACTAGATACTCACAATCATCTCTCCTTTTTTTTAAAAAAAATTTTTTTTTTCAAATGAAAATACTGTTTGTATTGTCAGAGAGCTCACAATGTGAGAATATGCAACACTCCTAATAGATAAGGTTTGTGGAAAATGCAGTGAGCTGACCCATTTATTTCGGTGCAAAGAAGTTTTGAAACACATGCATAGGAGGGTCTCCAAAAAGTTCATGAAAAATATGGATGAAAAAATCGCATACATGGCTTATCTATCTCTATGTCATGCTGATAATGCTGGAATCAGGATTTGCATGAGGTATGCCCTCGGCAGCCCCAGTGAAGGCGCTGCCCAAGCTCATGTGCACGCACGCAGACAGCTGAGCTGCTGTTACTTTTCTGCTCTGTATTTTTCCCTCTCGTGCTCCTTCAGCTCCAGCTGGCTTGCATCGACCCCGTGGTCTGCGCTCTTGGCGTGTTCATCTTAGTGATGATGGCGACACTGCTGTGTGTTTCGGCTTAGGCTTCTTTATTTTCCATTCCTTATGGTTTCTTTTTTTCCCCCCACATTCTGGACATGTGGACAGTGATAAAGGTCTCCCAGATCCTTTCTTCCATGTGTCTTTGATTTTTTTTTTTGAGAGGGGAATAAAACATGTTCATGGGATCTATTGATGCACTCATTCTTCTGTTATAAACAGGGAATTGGAACATAGTTTCTGGCTAGCCTCTATGATGGCATGGAAATGTCTTGTCAGACCTTAAAGCATGACTATCACAAACATATCCCCATATTTCTGGAGCCTTCTCAAGCAACAGGTGCTAGCATATACTGGAATTCAGTGGTGATGGTGACAGCTGTGTGTACTCCTTCATCAAGAGGTATGTGGGGTTACTTAGTGCATGGAAGAATCAAAACGCTTGCCTGAAGCCTTGCACACTGGCCCGACGCTCATCTGCTCTGTTCTGGGAGCTGGGCCTACAGGCTCCTTTTGCCTTTGGGAAGCAGAGCTGGCAAGAGGAAGGCAGCAGCAGCCACCTGTGGCGGGAGGCACAGCTGTGTGGCTAGGACCACGTCGCCTCTGGAGAAGGCCACAGTTCTGTTTGGGTGCTGTGACTTAGCCATGACTCCGCATAGCCCCTCTCCTGCAGGCCGACAGTGATAGCAGCTTCTAGGTGCTAAGCCCCGACACGCCTGCCTGCTCTGGGGTTTTCCTTAGCGCTACCATCTGGAAACACACTTTTGAATGAACTGTCTTTGATTACTCTTCTGGTCTTGCCAACTGCTTCCAGCTCCGACCTTAAGCTGCACTGGTGACATTCTGGATCTACCCTGCAGAAAGGGACAATCTGTGGGCCCACTGTAGGAGCCCCAGTGACTTGTGCTGTGGCCACAGCATCTCTGAGGTGATCACAGCGGTCATGTCTCAGGTGACTAATCTGTTTCTGTCCTCCCTTTCCTCTTTATTTGTAACCTAGCAATCAGACTGACCCTTTGAAAGCGAAGTCACATGATATCCCTGTTCTCACAGATGACTCCAAGTGAAAACTCAAAAACTCGTATGCTCCAGCGTTTGTCACCTTCTCCCTCTTTTCTTTGAACCCTGGCTAACCCTCTCCTCTCCTTCAAGTGTTTGCTGAAAATCTGCCTTTCTCAAGGAGGCTCAGTCTGACTACGGTATTTAACTCTGCAACTTGCTCTGGCCTTGTCTCCCCTCTTTAGGTCTCCCCTAACTGCTCTTCTTTCTCCTGTGTTGCAACATCAGAGATGTTGTTGCTCAAACTATGTCCCCATGGATCAAGGTGGCCAAGGTCTCCTGTCACCCAAGATAGTACAAATGCAGAATTGCAAGCTTTCTACTTATTGTTAGGTAATCTACACACAGGGTGTGGTTTGTTTCGTCCAACACCCCTTCATGATACCCATAATGCTTTCCTTTTTATTGGGTCACTGAGATTCAAGGTCATCTTGTAGTAGCATCTGTTACCTTTGCTATTAAATTATGGTGCCACACAGTGTATGTTTTTAAATAAAAAACAAACACTGCAGCCAGAAATTGTACTGTTCAATGAGTAACAATTGGCTACCGGTAGCCTATATGGGTGAACCACTGGGATCTCAGGCAATGTAGGTGAGCATCAAGAGACACACTCAGGTCTTGGGGGCCTTAAAGACTGTCTTCTGCAAGGAGCCATCACTGCAGGTCTCCTCTAGCATCACAGGCTATGACTGACAACAGTCAAGTGTCCATTTAACACGGCAAATACAGAAGATTTTGAATGCTCCTGATTTAAAGGAAAGATGTATGTTTGAAATGATAGGCACACTGATTATCTTGCCATCTAAAGATAACAGGCTTCTTTCTTCCCTATTCATTCTGGTTGAGTACTTTAAAGCTATCTTTTGCCTACAAATGTTCTGATTTGTACTTTGTTATTATTAATGAATGTGTAGCTATTGTTGGGCACTTAAAGGGTCTGCCATGAAACTATCTGCTAAGCATATTCTACGCAAGTTGGCTGTCTCACGTTAGAGAGCAAAGTCCACTCTTTGCCCCTGGGGGATTATGAGCTATTCAGAAACATGGAAGCTAATTCACAATTATGGCCTGAAGCACTTTAATAATCAGTGGGAGTCACCCCATTGCCTCCTTTCACTGACCACCACCTCCCCTCAGGGGTTATTTAGCTCTACCATTCTGGACAGCCACCAGCCAGGTGTTATTCTCCTAACAGAGTAGATTCCAAACATTCAGAATTCATAAATTACCCAAGGTCTTTTATATCTCTCTTGGGTTTTTGCTGTGTTCTTATTTGAATCAGGAATTAGCTGTAATACTTTTGAAAGTAGATTAGGGACTTAGAAATGACCATTCTGCAAAGGTATCTTAAAGGATCAGAGAGAACATTAGCCCTTCTCTCCAAAAGCTTCGTGGCAGAGCAGGTTGTGTAATAAATGGCCATTTAACCAGGCCAGTCGCTTAATCCCGCTTGACCTGGATTTCCTTATCAGAGGCACACAATGGGTGCAACTAGGAAGAGAACAAGAGGCTCCTGAACATTGCAGGGACTTCACCAGCTCTAATAACATGCCAACATTTCCTAGGATTTGGTGAGTTATCCTTTTTCTTTTTGATTTTTTAAAAATCAGGAATCCGCCGTATCTACATTTTAAATATTCTTGTCTATGGAATTGAAGTCAGGTGCCAGTTAAAAGCTCCCAACGTGCAAAGATATCAGGGACCAAGCTCTAAAGTTGCAAAATATTCTAGAGAGGAATATGGGCGGGGGGTGATTAAAATGTTGCAGGCAGGACTGCTTATAGAATTTACAGGACCCAATGCAAGATGGAAAGGTTCAGGTTTGGTGGCACACAGGAATAAGCTTCAGTCTGCAATGCTAGCATCTCATGTCAGAGCCTTGGGTTAAATTCTGGCTTCTTGTACAGTGCTTATTATTGCACCTGGGAAAGCACAGAAGACGGCTCAGGTGCTTAGGCACCTGTCACCTACAGAAGAGACTTGGATGTGGCTCCAGGCTCCAGGCTTTCACCTGGTTCAACCTTGGTCTCTGCAGCAGTTTGGGGGAGTAAACCAGCAGATGAAAGATCTCTTTTCTCTGACTTTCAAATAAAAAGAATGAATCTTTTTTAAAAAAATTAGGTAGCTAGAAAGCTTCCAGTGTTTAGTACTAAACAAAGTGACTGTAGCTACTGCCATGCATAGTCACAGCCAGAAAAGAATCTGGAGCATTATTTAAAGCCCTCTGTTTCTCCCCAACTTTCTCTAAATGTAGTGAAGAATAAGTTAAAAACTTGCAATGAACTATTTTCCACTAGTGGGCTCTCTTCTAGTGAACATGAATGACTGACAGAGTGGCAGCATTTTCGTCACTAATGATAGCTTTGATGTGGCTTGGCAGCCACTAGCAAGAGCTATGTCAGTGACTAGGATGACCAGGGCCCTCAAGGGCTGCTGTCCACCTTGCTCCGGTTGCCTGGCGGCTCTAGCATGGACTTGGCCACTCCCTCCCTACCCACTCACTGTCCACATGTGCCTCCTCCACTGTCATCTTCTGGTCCCCTGCTCTTTCTTTCCCCTTGCCGACTGAAGCTCAATTCAGTGGAAACACATAGGTCATCACATGGCCACCTGTTCAATGTCTACCTGCCAAGACAACATACTTGCCTGTCCCTGTTCCTTCTCCTCCTTCTTGGGAAGCTGTGCCTTTCCATCCCCATCCTGCCCCCCAACCAACTATTCAACCTCTTCCTTCAGGCTCCCTCTCTGATGATTAATATTCTCACATGCTTCTCACCCCACCACCTCCCCATCCCACCTACAGCTTTCCTTCTCTTTTCCTAGTCTCTCATCTCAAAGAAAATGTTGCCTCTTTACAATTCCTCCTTTCTGTCTGCTCTCAGTGACTCTTGCACCAGCCTCTCACTCATACCTCTCATTTCCTAACCCTCTGCTCCTTAAATGGAGCTGGATTTTTTCCTTGCTGAGAAGCCCAGCATGTCCTGTGGCAAGCCCAGCACAGGGAAATCTGGCTGACAAGATGCCAAATCACCCATGAGTTATTTCATGTAATTGAGGAATCCAGGCATAAATCATGTTAGGCCAACAGGTGACTGCAATATTAAATTTTGTATTTTCAAAGGGAAACTCTTCATGCTGGGTCTCTAAAACAGAAAAACAGTCTTGTAATGTTTGGAAAGAGGTGGAGACAGTCTCTGTGCACAAAGGGCAGAGTGTCCTGGCCTTGCTGTGAATGTTTTAGCAGCTGTGGAAACTTTCACCAAGACTCATTTCCAGCAATGCACAGCCATGCTCAAAAACCTGGCTGCTCCTCGTGGAGGGCAACGCACTTGCTGGAGCCCGAGGCACTGGTGAAGAGCAGGGGGGTTTCTGCTCACAGCTCTGCCTGTGAATTCCACTGGGAATGTCAGCTCCAGTCCTATACCACCACACCTCTTGAGAAATTACACATCCTGACATGACAAGGCCAGACAGTGCCAGGGAAGCCAGGGAGGCACTGCATGCCTTTCCCTCTAATGTCTGGGGCATGTTGCCTGATGCCTGGTTTCCTAGAACTTTGTGGGTTCCAGTGCTGCCTACACGGAGGATCACTCCACCAACAGGCATCCTCAGGATTGCCCTGGGTTGCCTTTTCCCCAGCAATGCAAAGTGCTCCTCTTAGCGCAGACGTCCAATGTGCTTTGACTGAAAGATCATACACATGGCGTTGTAAGGTAGACAAGCCACCGCCTGTGATGGTGGCATTCCCTGTGGGTACCAGTTTGAGACTCAGCTGCTCCACTTCTGACCTAGCTCCCTGCTAACACACCTAGGAGAGCAGCAGAAGATGATGCAAGTGCTTGGGATCCTGCACCCACATGGGAGAACTGGAAGAAGCTCATGGCTTTGGCCTGGCAAAGCCCAGGCTTTTGTGGCCATTTGGGGAATGAACCAGTGAATGGAAAACTTCTCTCTCTCTCTCTCTCCATTTCTCACTAATTCGCAGTGTGCACAGGATAGGAAATGCCACACTTGGTAAAGTTTCCACTATGCTGTGCCTCAAACAGTAGTGTTTAGTCTATGAAACCTTTCTGTGCTCACGGCAATTCATGGGACCCTGTTCTAATAATTGTGATTCAGTGAAAGCTGGACTGCTGGCACCAGCTCACTCAAGAAAAGCAGCAGGCACATTAATGAGGATAGGCATTCTAATAGGCATACATTTGACAGGGCAATTTCAAGGTGTCCCATTGAACCCAACAGAGTTGGCTATGCACTGACTGCATGAGGTGCTCATTTTTAAATGTAAAAAAATTTGAAGATTTCATTTTATTTTTTATTTGAAAGGCAGAGTTACAGGGAGAAGGGGAGAGAGAGAGAGAGAGAGAGAGAGAGAGAGAGAGAATCTTCCATCCACTGGTTCATTCTCCCAAATGGCCACAATACCTGGAACTGGGCCAATCTGAAGCCAAGAACCAGGAGCTTCATACTGGTGTCCCATGTGGGTGCAGGGGCCCAAGGACTTGGGCTGTTTTTGTTGCTTTCCCAGGCCATAAGCAGAGAGCTAGATCAGAAGTAGAACAGACTTGAATTGACCCCCAGATGGCATGCTGACACTGTAGGTAGAGAGTAGCCTGCTAAATCTCTGGGCAGGTCCCACAAAAATAATTTCAGACAATAACATTCAGGAAGCACATAGGTAAAATTCTTGCCTCTTATACCACAAAAATTAACATCATTTGATTGATGACAGACTGTAATAAAAGGAATATTATATATAGCTATGTATACTTTCCCCCTTACATATGTGGGCAAACAAATTAATACATGCAGAGTTATTTCTTTTAAATATCTGGCAAGGCATGTGACTGATGGTTAGACAATTTTTTGACTTGGTTAAGACAAACTGTAGCCAAATGTTAAAGCATGGAAAATGTTGGTGTCGGCAAAGCAGATACAATCCCAACGAAGCTTTTAAGTCATCCCAGCACACAACCATGTTGAAATCTTACCACTAGCTTTCATGCAGTCTGTTCCTGGCAGCGAGCAATAGCTTTCACCCTTGAGTGCTGTTGCTGAGTTTCATGTATTGGGACCGAGGTTGAGGTTCTATTCAAGAAGTCAGTTTTAATGTAGGGGATGACTTGGGTTGTGTGAGAGCACTCGGGGGGGGGGGGGTCCTGGATACCAAATTGGCTTACAATGTAGATGTCTGCATGGATCCTACGGCGGGTCCCTGCACCTGTTTGGAAGTGCAGTCTGATGCTTTTGCATGGGATGAGCTGTGTGTTAAAAGGCTGTGTGAAACTCAGGGTGTGTCACGCTGGGACCCTGCTGTGCCTGCATGAAGGGACCTAGTGCTGGCCACTCCTCTGGGTGGTATAACCCCAGCACCTCTTAGGGTTTGCTATCGCCAGGAGGGCCGTGGAATGAGATGGCTCTGTCATCCTGTTGACGTTTTCAAGCCATCACGGAGAGGGTTAGGGATGTTACTGCAGCAGCTACCAGCAGACCAGCCATCTACCTTTGGTACTTACGGGAATTTTATGACTCTTGATCATATTATCAAATTCTTCATTAATTTTTTTGTATTTTTCTTCAGTGCGTGGGGTGAGTGCATAAGAGGAGTCAGGGTTGGGGCTTTCACAGCCTTTGCTTTCTTTCTTGTTCAAGGCCTGCCAGGTTCAGAGAAATACCAAGAGTGAACAAAAAAGGGAAGGGAGTTCTGAGTACTTACACACAATCTTTGCCTGCTGATCATTAGATCAATATCTTCATTAATTTTTCTGTACTTGTCCTCAGACTCAGGGCTGTGCCCGACTGAGTCGTCCGCATCGGGATCTGGGCTGTCACAGCCATTAAGGCCCTTCTTTCTCAACGTCTGAAATAGATAATTTGCAAAGTTCAAACTTTGACGTGGCTGTACAAGAGACAAGCAGGGGCATAACAGGGGTTTTGGGTGGCTCAGCGTCCCGCTGTCTTACATTCGAAGTCAAGAAATCACAGGTAGAAATTGGGAGGTGTTTCAAGAGAATGTTCATCACCCACCAAAAAGCAGAGAAAGGGAAGTACCCCTCCAACCCTTGGCAACCAGACACATCAAGGAACCATGAGCGCTGTGTGTTGTGGGACCAAAGGAGAGGGAGAGACAATGAGAGACACAGACAGTGGAGGGAACCCATTGTCACACTCCTAATCACAGGACTACATGGAGCCGGGGCATCATACGACTACGATGGCACAGTCTGAGAGGAGATGACCAGAACAAGGGAATCGGAAGCAGATTCCTGGTTCGAAATTCACATGTGGTGAGCTCTGTGGGTGTTCCGTCCATCTCCCACCTCTGGTATTTTTCACGAGTGTTCTACCTCTACTTGTGTAAGGCACGTTCAAGACAATTCTTATGTAAGCCATTCATTTGAAGTCTTCTATAACCTCAACAGCCTGAGTGCAATGGAACCCATGTATCATCCTGCTCGGGAGTGGGACGGGCTGCTCACACTGTGATCCCATGGAACACATCTGGTTAGGTTTACACCAATCTGCACATCTGTGCTGAAGTTCATAAAAGGAATCAGTCCTCCCAGGAAGCAGCCGAAAGAGGCAAGAATCAACTTCCTGGTCACCATGCGTGACGCCCAAGCCTGGTGGAGGCCGAAAAGAATCAGAAGATGCCACATGAAAAGTTGGGGCCTTATCCTGAACCTCCAGGCTTGGGGCGTTTGGGCTGGCCTCGTTAGTGCCATCAGAGGCTGGTAAATACAAATCTGACATCATTCACAGTTTGGAGAAGCCTGAGTCAGGCGAACTAGAATTTTACTCTTTTTCTTGTTTAAATGATGGTTGTCACCTCAATTGTACACACTCTGATTTATGGAGATAATGTTATGTTTCTAGATATCATCAAACTTCTGATTAATCACGCTGCTTGCCATGCTCATGATTAATAGACTAGCAACATTTCGTAAGTGACCGGGTACTTGAACATCAGTTACAGAGAGATGCGTACCTAAGTGTCTCTCATTAACGGAAAACTCAGGCAAGCTCATCTTTAGAGAACACAGAATTCACATATAAATAAAGCTAAAGCTGCAACACACAAGCGAAAGAACTCAAAGCTGAGATAACACTCCATGTTTAATTCAAACAATTGGAGAAATAAATAAAACAACAGGAGTTAAGAAGGGGGTGTCAGGCTTAAAAACTACTTGGCTCTTATTAATGTGTAACAAATGTAATATTATTTAAAATTAAGTTTCTGAGGCATGGAAGACTTCCTGAGAAAAATCAAACTGGAGACTTACCACTTGTGATACATTTAGGAAGCATGGGGGCTCTGTAAATATTTATTAATGTGATAGTGGTATATTGTAACAAATAAGCATATGGTTGTAGCTTATTATGTGGTAAGATGTTTGAATATTAAAATGCATATTTCAACACCTGATGGTAAAAATATACATTTATAATGTTGGGGAATGTGTAATTCCTGGGGCACCCCATCACAGACCTACAGCCACTGTTCATCACCCAGCGTTAAGTCCTCTCTCTTACGTCAGGTGTGGGCAATGGTTTTCTGTCAAGGGTCATGAGGATAAGTGTGACTTCATCTGTGGGCCCTAACAATGTATCAATTTACACATGAACCTGCCACAGAGGGATGGCACCTATTCTGCCTGTGGTTGCTGGGGCAAGGCCAGACCAAGTGATTTTGCAGATGCTGCAACAGCCCATGGGCTGGATGTTTTCCATACCTGGGGTTCCCTACAAGAACGTGTGTAGAGTGTCACAGTACGTTAGAATAATGATGCCATGGACTAACTTAATCTCCTGTGTACTGAACTCTTTCGTTCGCATGATCTTAACCACAAGGGCATTCTTCCGGGTGAGAACTATTTGTTCTATCAGGATACATTTCCACCTTGATCTCTGTATATTTTGGAGCTTTTCAGAGCCATTTTAGGGTGTTTTACATCATTCACGATGTAGTGTTCATAAGTATTCCTTAGTACAGGTAAAACCAGGTAAAAACAAAACCTCTGGTGTTTTTTGAAGGCGATCTACCTGCATTTCTGTAAGGCAGGTTTAAGAATATGCTTATAAAAGCCTTTCACTTGAAGTCTTTTTGGATTTTCAGATTTTTCCTGTGTGCACCCGTCTTTTATCCAGTAAATCTTATTGTACAAATTCTAGTTGTTTTGATGTACAGCTTTCTGACAACAGAACGCCAGGGTTAGGAGAGGCCTATCAGCTGTCATTTCGATCCATCTGGCACATGCATGCGTGCTAAATATTCTTATAAAGCTTTCAGGAGGCAGATACTGTGTTTGGCTTAGGAAAATTCAAGTATCAATTGCACGGTGTAGAGAGATTTCCACAGCTATTAACACATTATCTCTTGCAAGTCACCTACACAGAGTTTAGGGAAAGGTTCCACCATGCCGCAAGCTAGCATGGCCAAGCCCGATGCCCCCAGCACTAATCAACTGACTGCACATAATGCAGGGTCCCGCTTCACCCCTGCCTAAACTTTCCCACCCTTGTGAGGTGAAGGACGGGAGCCAGCTCTCCCCGAATCGCAGGCGACGAAGCAGTTGTACCCCCATCTGGAATAATAGCCTGAATGCTGAAATAACTGAAGGGTGTGGGAAGTTTCTAAGTAGCAAAATATGGCGACAATATTGATGCATCTTAGATAGCAAATGTAGTCATGAGTGGGGCTCCCTGTTTTGTCAATAAAACACTTATCCAACGTACAGACTTTAAAAAAAGACCACAAACAGATCAACTTTGGGCTCACTTTGTATCTGAGGGATTACATAAAGCAACAAGCAAACAAGGCAGGTGGCGGGAAATCACTGCAATGCGGAGCAGGCGGGGAGAGCAGTGGTTCATTTTCTTCCAGTAAGTTCTTCGTGTATCTGACTACATTATCCTACGATGAATCTTAGCTGTATTTAAATAATCATTCAAGCTAAATTGTGTTATTTTAAAAAGAGCATTTATGATACACAAACACAAAACTCAAGAGAAAATTAATAGTGAGTTCTAAATTCCCATAATCACATAACTAGAACACTGAAAAAATTGTTCAAAAATATTATCCTCAGCTGAGTGCTTGTGTAGCACATTTCTGCCAAGAACAAATGATTATGGTGGAATTATAAAGCTCTGAAAATGGAAGTGATGGCAGCGACTTGAATGCCAGAGTGTGAATGTGGAACTATAAGAGCATTTTCATCTTTATAATATTAAAAATCTACAGCTGTTTAATGATGACAAAGGAATTACTGTTAGAGGCAGCCAAGTCAGTCTATTCACAGTATTGAATAGTCAATATGAACTAAAGGGCTGACTAAATGGATAAGCAGCCATTATTCCTTCAGGCACTCTTCTTGCAACATCAGAGACTGTGCCAAGGGTCTTTGAAAACTCCTGTAATCTTTTGCAAGTGTCACTGGACAGGTATTGGGGGCACTCAAGTTTAACTCCTTTGCAGGGGCTACAAGTCCTGCAAATGTGTCATTGCTCAGCCTGCCTGTGTTCTCAAAGGATTTCTTCTGCGTGTCAGGTGGAGGTAAGGGGTCTTGTGATGCCACCAGCTTCGCTCGTTACCATCTGAAGACTCTCCTCCCTCAGAGAACACTGTCTGAAAAGAGCCTACTCATTCTTCACGTGCGAGTGACACCTCAGGGGTAGATTAGGGGGCCGACGGCTCGGGCTTCTGGGAGAGACACGCAAGGCAGCGGCTGTCACGTAAGGAGCTGAGAACAGCCGTTCGGAGAGAAGTAATTAGACTGACAGAAGGTGACACTCTCCAAAACAATAAAATGGGAGATGGAGTCCAGGCAGGTAGGTGAAAACCACGTGGACGCTCTCCTCGCAGACATGGGAACATATGGGACCCTTGTGGTTACAGTTGTTCATGGGAGAAAACTTGAAATATGTACAAACTGAGGATGGTAGGCGACAGGTGCATCAGAAGCTCTAATGAAATAGATGGAGGAGAACAGATTCTATTTCCTCACTGCAAGCAACGTAAATGAAAAGGAACGCCACATGGAACTCCCGTGGGCATTATGTTCCCAATGAGCGAGCTCTCTCCTGTACAATGCTTAAAACTGTTTTGCCCTGCTTAACTAATTTGTTTTCTCTCAAAAAACTATTTCCTATTAGCAAAATGAAGTAACCAAGTTGCCGACCCTTCTGATGACATGAAACTATATGCTAAACGGTTAAGTACAGTCATATTTTATGTTTTAAGTAAAATTCAGCTTTAAAAAAACAGAACCATTCCAGCCTGCAAGGCTCCATTTCTCCCCATGTCTCAAGCGATATATGTTTGCATCATCTTTCTGTCTCTGTCCCCACTCATTAGACAGCAGAAAGTTCAAATCCCTTTGTGCAAATCACACAATGACTAGAATGAACCTTGGACAAAATCCAAACCCTTGCTCTTTCTTGCCTCGCCTGCATAGCCCTCTTTTCAGAGGGTGGATGTGTCAAGCACACGTTCATGGGCACGGATGTGGTGTTCACACAAAAGTCAAGAAGAGACGTCCACTTAGAAAATGCTGGGTCCTTTCCTCCCATCCTGATTTTTTTGAGGGGAGGCGGGGGGAGCTGTTGTTTTTTGTAGCCTTACAAAGATTAGCATTTGTGCTTAATGACTGAA